TAATAGTTATAAGCATAACGATTATAGCATATAAAACTTTATTAACCTTGTGTATATACAAATTCATCAGACATGGGACAATACAAATAATAATAAGCAAATAATACAACAAACGAAGTATACTCCGCAACGACACCAAGTCTAGTAAATCTTCCCCGGACGAGGACTATCGTTGAAAACCCGGAACCATTATAAACTGGCAGAAAAACGTAGAATGATGACCCCACAATCAAAGGCTCCTAACACTGTGGACCAAAAAAGGCATGATCAGCAGAAGTGACTGGATATGTACTGAATTAAAGCACTTGGAAAGTATCTTATTGACCTGATGCACAATGTGTCGTGCCATTTTCATCCCACATAACACGAGTCTAAACTGACTGAAGCATCTTCATTCGCGTCAACAGGGGCAAATCCATTACAGAAACCACCATAAGAGGGCCCTCTTACAAGCAGGATCTTTAGTCTCTTAATATACTCATCCATAACATTGAGGAGTCCATCTCTCTGCTGCAAATAACATTTAAGAGTCCATCTTCTGTTGCAAACACAGGCTGAAAAATACAAACGAAAACAGTGTTTACCATCTACTTCATTGAAAAGAAATATACCATGAAAAATCAAGCAGTTACAAATTGAACACTGTTTATCTTAAAAATTGTAAATACCTCGAATCGTTCCTAAAGAAAGAAGCAAACAAACTTTCTACATCCGATAGAATACTATACGTGGAAATACCCATTACCAATGCAAACCCGACTTCTTTGAATAATATGCGAATCTCTTTGAAACCAAGTTGGTATTACGAATACAGATATGGCACATAATCTGCCACCCGCAAACATATCAAAATTCTGTCAAAACGATAAAATACAGTAACAAAATACCTAAAACAAATAAACAAACAAACAAACAAACAACACACAAACAGACAACCAGGATCTATAACTGGTAAATCTGCCTTCTTTCCCTAAAAAGCATTTTTACTCTCCCAAAAAACACTATTCACTTCTCCCACTTGAACATACGCGTTGAAAACAGTGTACAATTTTCAACCTTCTCTTTATAAATACCATTTTTCAACAAGTCGTAAAAATTCTTGAAACACGGCAAAAACAATCCAATACGAGAGACCCCCTTGCCATGGGTTACCTTTAATAAAAAAAAAAATCTTAATCTAATAATTCATCCTGAATATCCAAAATAAATCATTTAACTGTACCTCTGCTAAAAACATCCATCAGGACGCATGCCCTTTATCAGAACTTGAAATTCTATAGCGTTAACAACTTTCTGAAAATAACAAAATATTTGTGAAATGCAAAAATATCAGATATACAATCCTTATGAATATTCTTCTTTCTGAAACTTTCCAGACAGAACTGACCAGCATCATAAATCATACTCACATCCATTACACCTACCACCTCGTTAATATACATTGCAACGTTCGAGCTACTTGTCGGCAAAACCCTTCAAAAGACCAGGAATTATCTTCCATGAGACTTAAAGCTATCCATAAATTATGATACCTACAAAGACGCTGCTTCCTGCAACTTCTCATCATAGTACAACAAATGCTTCATGCTATCTGCGTATTCGAATACACTAGGTATTATAAGGTACGAAAAGCAACACTTGCATTTTGCCCAAAAAACCCTGGGAAAATACAAACAGCAGCTATATCAACTTTACCAGATCTTTGACATCAAAACAGGGAATATCATTCCAAAAAAAGAGAGAGAGTATTAACTTACCAAAAACGGCATGTGATTAATGATACTGCAAATACTGCATATAAATAAATACTAAAAATATAAAAATTTTAAGGTACCTGATCTTAACACTACGGCACATGAATATTATATTTACACCATCTAACGGGCATATACAAAATTGAACTCGTGATCCTGACATAACTAGGCTTACATAACTCCTGTACAAAGCCTTCTAATTCCTACATCGTCTACGACAAGCTGAGAACGTAATATAAACATACGAGTCAATTTGAGCGCAGCCAGATCCAAAATAGGAGATGGACCCCCCACACCATCTTTCAGTCCATTACTCAATGCTAATAAAACACGGAAGATTGAATAAATCCTCCGATACCTAGAACACAAATTATCAAAAAACCAACTCTCTTCCTAATAACATACACAATAAAATGACTCCACTGTATCAGGTGGCGATCCAAAACACCACTTGTACTATATAGTAAAGAATAATTGAACACTTTAACCATATACATTCTTTTCTAACATACCGCCACTATACTATTATACCAGACATGACATATACATTACCATTATCCCACAAGTATCACACACACTGGAATTACTACAAATC